GGTCCAGAGCTTTTCCATCCCCGCAAAAGGAGCCCCCATCCCCATCAGCAATCACCCCCCCCACCCCTCCCCTAGCCCCTGACAACCAGGAATCCACTCTCCGTCTCTGTGGATTTGCCTGTTCCGGACGTTTCACACTATGGGACAGGATGGTCAATTTTTCTTTTTTTTTTTGCGGTACGCGGACCTCTCACTGTTCTGGCCTCTCCCGTTGCGGAGCACAGGCTCCGGACGCGCAGGCTCAGCGGCCATGGCTCACGGGCCCAGCCGCTCCGCAGCATGTGGGATCCTCCCAGACCGGGGCACGAACCCGTGTCCCCTGCATCGGCAGGCGGACTCTCAACCACTGTGCCACCAGGGAAGCCCAGGATGGTCACTTTTAATAACCTTGGACCAGTGGGCTGTTTAAGGATCGGCAGATCTGCACTGGGAGCCCATGTGCCAGGGTGAGCCGACCAGGAGGCCTCCCAGCAGTGCCCTGCCAGGGCCTCTATCTGGGCATGTCACCGTCACCCATGGCTTGGGCCACATGCCTCACAAGGAGGCTCCCAGGAAATTCTTGCCACTGAAACTGAGCCAGAGGTCACACCCAGAGCTGGCTTTCCCCCTGCCTACGGGGCAGCTGATGGAGCTCAGTGACACAGGTCCGGCCACGCTGAGCTGCCAAGAGAGGCAACTGAGACCCAGAAGGGGCTGGACGGGGGAAAAGCGGATGGGAGCCAGTGGACAAGACCCCTGTCTTGGCCATTTGCTCACTCTGCCCCTGGTGGCCACCTTTGAAGTGAGGGTCACTGCTCCCAGTGACCTCTCCTGACCTCTGTGCCAGGTGAGTCCCGCCTGAGGCCACTAGGTGAGTCCATTAACCAGTTATCAACAAGATCCATCACTTTCTGTCTCCACCGCTGGTTGGCCCTCAGCAGCTATCTTGGCCACAGCAGGTCCTGCCAGTGGAATCGGGGGGTGAGGGAGGTCATGGCGGTCCAGACAGGGCAGGGCCTGGGCGTGAGGACAGTGGGCTTCTTTTCTTTTCTTTTCTTTCTTTATTTTTAGTTGTGGCACGCAGGATCTTTTTCTTTAGTTGCAGCATGCAGGATCTAGTTCCCTGACCAGGGATTGAACCCGGGGCCCCCTGCATTGAAAGCGTGGAGTCTTAACCACTGGACCACCAGGGAAGTCCCTGTGCTTCTTTTAAATGCAAATAAGAATGGGGAGGCATGTGGCAAAGGAGAGTTGAAACAGAGGAAAGCCCCTGGTCTGGGTTTTTACAAAGCTCCTCCCCCTGGCCATCATACAGAGGTAGTTGGTTTAAAGAAAAACCAGTGCCAGACAGTTCAAGCTGTAAAACCGGATTATACTCAGGAGCCACTGCAATGGCTCCACTCCTAACACAGCACAGGCAAGCAGGTTCACAGCGAAGGGACCGGTGGGCTCGGTGGACAGAGAATCACTAGGAGGAGATGTGAGGGGTAAGGGGGGGATTCTGGCTACACTGACTTAGCAGATTCTTGCTGAAACACCCTCGTGTTTCACCCGGCGGCTGGATTCAAAGATCTCCTGCCCCTCCCTGTTTCATTCATTCCCTCTGCTACCATTTAGGGAGCCTCTGCCTTTTGTGGACCCACCATTGTTAGGCACCCAGGACACATCAGAGAACAAGACACATCTGGCCCTGCCTGCCCCGGAGGGAACTCACAGTGTGGAGGGAGGGAATGGGGATCCAGAAAGGCTTCCTGGAGGAGGGGACTGATGTCCAAGGTGACACAGGATGGCTTAGTCAAAGTTAGCCCAGGGGAGGAGGATTGGGTAAGAGGAGAGGGGTTCCTGGAAGAGAGAACAGCATGTACAAAGGCCCTGTGGCAGCAGCTCTGGGTGCTGAGGGACAGGTAAGTGATGGGTAGGGCAGGGCATCCTCCCTTCATAAAGCCTCCTGGAGGTGGAAGCCCAAAGCCAAGAGAGCCTCCCTTCCTTGGTTGGGGCCAGCAGCCTCCCTTTATAAAGATAAGAACAGGTGAGGCACAGAGATGCAAGGGTGGGGCCCGAGCTCCCCCAGGTGGCAAGTGGCAGAACCAAGATTCAAATGCAGGATTCTTAACCAGGGCTTCTTAAAGTGTGTCCAGTTTGGGTGAGGGTGGTGGCTGCTGAGACCATTTCAGGGGGTCTTCAAGGTCAAAATCACACATGAGCAAAAGATCCATTCAAAGTGCAAAGACAGGGACTTCCCTGGCGGACCAATGGTTAAGACTCTGTGCTCCCAATGCAGGGGAGCATGGGTTGGATCCCTGGTCGGGGAACTAAGATTCCACATGCCGCACAGTGTGGCCAAAAATAAAAATTAAAAATTAAAATAAAATTTAAAAAAGTGCAAAGATAGACGAATGGGCTTTAATGGAGCAGAGAATGAAAGAGAACAGGCCACCTTCATAAACCTCTACCTGTCCAGTTCGGGTGTAGGACAAAGAAGACTACCCATGATGACCTAAAAAGGCTAAAAATCCTCCTCTCTCTGTGTGAAGCTGGGTTTTCTTCCTATATATCAACCGAGACAACTATGGAAATGGGCTGAATGACAAGCAGATGTGAGAATCCTTCTAAACCAGATATTAAAGAGACTTGCAAAAATGCAGAATATCACTTTTACCTAAAAATTTTTTTTTTTAATTTCAACAAGATGAATTTATTCTCTGACAGTTCTGGAGGTGAGGAGTCTGACACGGGTCTCACGGGGCTAAGATCAAGATGTGGGCAGGTGGGCTTCCCTGGTGGCGCAGTGGTTGAGAGTCCGCCTGCCGATGCAGGGGACACGGGTTCGTGCCCCGGTCCGGGAGGATCCCACATGCCGCGGAGCGGCCCGTGAGCCATGGCCGCTGAGCCTGCGCGTCCGTAGCCTGTGCTCCGCAACGGGAGAGGCCACAAGAGTGAGAGGCCCGTGTACCGCAAAAAAAAAAAAAAAAAAAAAAAAAAGATGTGGGCAGGGCTGGTTCCTTCCGGAGGCTGCACGGGAGCATCAGTTCCCGCCTTTTCCAGCTTCTAGAGGTGCCGCATCCTTGGCTCACAGCCCCATCCTCCATCCTCACAGGCAGCAGAGGGGTATCTTTCTGAACCTTCTGCTGTAGCTACATGTCCCTTCCCTGTGATTGTAGCTGGAAAGGTTCTCAGTTTTTTTTGTTGTTAATTGAGGTGAAATTCACATAATACACAACTAGCCATTATTGTAAAGTATACGATTCAGTGACATTTAGTGTGTTCACAATGCTGTGCAACCATCACCTCTAATTCCAGAACATTCTCATCACCCCAGAAGAACACCATATAAGTAATCACTCCCTATTTTCCCTCTCCCAGCCCCTGACAACCAGGAACCCACTCTCTGTGTCTGTGGATCTGCCTGTTCTGAACGTTTCCCGTCAATGGATCCACACACTGTGTGTCCTTCTGTGTCTGGCTTCTCTCACTGAGCATCGTGTTCTCAAGGTCCATCCATGTTGCAGCGAGTGTCAGTGCTTCACCCCTTTTCATGGCTGAATAATATTCCATGTGTGGATGGAACACAGTTTGTGTATCCATCTGTGGATGGACACTTGAGTTGTTTCTACCTTTTGGCGCCTGTGAATTATGCTGCTGTAAACATTCATGTACAAGCTTCTGTGGGCACATATGTTTTCATTTCTCTTGGGTAGACACTTTGAAGTGAAATTGGGTCATAAAACCTCTGTTTTCCACAGCGACTGTCCCATTTTCCATCACCACCAGCAACACACAGGGTCGCCGTATCTCCCCATTCTCACCAACACTCTTTATCGTCCATCTCTTTGACTATGGCCACCCTAGCAGGCGTGAGTGTTCTCTCACTGTGGTTTTGATTTGCATTTCCCTGATAATCAGTGATGCTGAGCATCTTTTCATGTGTTTGTTGGCCGTGAGTATATCTTCTTTGGAGAAATGTCGAGTCAGATTCTTTGCCCATTTTTAAATTGGGTCGTTTGTCTTTTTGTTGTTGACTTGTAAGAGTTCTTTATATATTCTGGCTAGTAACCCCTTACCATATATCAATATATGACTTGTAAAAATTTTCTCCCACACCCTGCTTTGTCTTTTCACTTCCTTAATAACGTCATTCAATGCACAAGACATTTTTAATTTGATCAAGCCCACTCCCTTTTTTTTATTTTAAAAAAATGTTATTATTTTTCATTAAAAATATTATATTTGGGGCTTCCCTGGTGGCGCAGTGGTTAAGAATCCGCTTGCCAATGCAGGGGACACAGGTTCGATCCCTGGTCCGCGAAGATCCCATACGCCGTGGAGCAACTAAGCCCGTGCGCCACAACTACTGAGCCCTTGTCCCACAACTACTGAAGTCTGCGCACCTACAGCCCATGCTCTACAACAAAAGAAGCCACCGCAATAAGAAGCACGTGCACTGCAACAAAGAGTAGCCCCCGCTCCGCGCAACTAGAGAAAGCCCGTGTGCAGCAACGAAGACCCAACACACCCGAACATAAATAAATTAAAAATATATGTATTATGTTTATGTGACCATGTAGTGATCAGTTGTCTTTTTTGTTTTTAGTTGCAGCATGTGAACTCTTAGTTGCAGCATGCGGGATCTAGTTCCCCCACCAGGGATGGAACCCAGGCCCCCTGCATTGGGAATGTGGAGTCTTACCCACTGGACCACAAGGGAAGACACTGGTTGTCATTTTTTAAAGTTAACAAACCTTTAATTTTTCTCAGTTTTAATGTATAACGTGGTAAATATTATCCATGACGATAATCCATTTAAATAAAAGCTCCCCGGGGCTTCAGTCCTTTTCAAGAGTGGAAAAGGGGTCCTGAAACCAAAAGGTCTCCTCTGGTGGGGAGGCGGGGTGGGGCATGTGGTCCCATCTGGTCAGTAAGGGGGCGGGGATCAGCAGGGCCCTGCCTACCCCACCCCCTAGCTGCTGAGAGGCCTGAAGCCAAACGCAGTGACGCTAGCCCTCACGTGGGCGCCCGCTGAACAGCCACTGGTGTCACGCTGAGATTTCCTGGCGGCCAGGGTCACGAGAACAAAGCTTAAGTTCATCTTGGCATCAACCCCCTTGGAAAAGGAAGTCCCCTGTCGTGCGGTACCTCTGGGACTGGCCCGCTGCTGTCGCTGGAGACGGGGAAGGGGGGGGTGAGCTCCTTTTTTCAGCCCCCAGAACCGGCCTTAATGTCAGGGTCAGGCGAGGGTACACACCGGGCTGGATATTTTTAGGGAGGGAGGAGGTGTGGCTGGTTATCTGCCCCGTGGGCAGTCTGGCTAGGAGGGGGCAGGCGGGGAGGAGGGGGGAAGAGGCAGCGGGGTGACTTCCACCCGCACCCCCCCGCCCGGCCGACCCGTGACTAATTTAGGCAAAAGACAGAGTGGAGCTATTTCCATCCAGTGGGAACAGGTGCGGCGCCCCCAGCGCTCCCCGCGCAACACTTCATCGCGCCGCCGGCCGCGCTCCCCATAGGCCGTGGGCCGCCTCCCTAGGAGCGGCCTCCGGGCTGCTCCAGCCTATAAAGGCGCAGGGTTTTCTCAATGAAGCCGGGACGCACTGCGGGGTCGGGCCCAGCCGGGTACCAGGGAGTCGGGAGTTGGCCTGCCAACCGCGGTCCCCGCCGCCCCTCCGCGCGGAGATGAAGTACATTGTGGGCATCGGAGGGTGAGCGTCCAGGGCCCCGGGCGGACCGCCCCGCGGGGGCAAAGGTGCCGAGCTCTCGGGAGAGGCCGGCCGGGTGCTCTCCTGTGCGGGCCGAGGTGGCCTGGGCAGGAGGCCGGGGAATGAATGGAGGGCTGCCTGGCGACTGGTGTCGCAGGGACCCGATGCCCAAGGTCGGAGTGCGGGGAGGGGTCTCTGCCCTCTGTTCGGCACAGGGCCGGGTGCGGGGCCCAATTAAAAAATTCCAAATGTAAGTCACTTCCCCATGCCGCACCCCTGACTAGATTCAGGGGGGAATAGAAGACTTTATAAAGCCCAGGCCGACCTTCCTTAAGGCGCGCGGGGGAGGGGGGGGCGAAGGGGAGGAAGGTGGGGAAACTCCGACCCCAGGGAGGCACGTGGGCAGGTGCTGCGGGGTCCCCAGAATGGCACTCCCCTGACTGTGTGGCACCTGCCTTTGCAGCCACTTCTGCTGACCCCAGGCAGGGGCCTTGCCTTCCCGGAGATTTATTACCAGTAACCAGGCCTTTTTAAGATGATGCTCGGGAAGCACTTAGCATAAGCAGGGCTGGCTTGGCGCTCCCACCTGGGAGGTCGCCCTGGGTCCTCCCCCTCTTGGTTTAATGCTCCATCACCCTCTTGAAATTCCTAATAGAGACCAGGGCCCTCCATTTCTGCACGTTCTGTAGCCGGCCCTGAGAGCACGGTGTGTCTTTCAGCAACAAGTCAAATTAACATCAGGCATGTTCTAACCTGCTCCCCTTAATGTATGGGGGTCACCTTTCCCATTGGCCCTTTTAAACGGCTGCAGGTCCCCCCCTTCCACACCCAGCTTTCCACCCCTGATTCCTAGGAGAGGGACAACCAGGTCAAGGGGACACTCATTCCCAGAAAGGCCTGACAGCCAGCCTTCTCTGTCCTTCAGCAGCCCCAGTCCAGAGTCCTTAGGGTGACCATCTGTCCTGCTCTTCCTGGGACTGAAGGGTCCCCAGGATTTGGGACTTTGAGCACTAAAACCAGAGACGTCCCGGGCACACCAGGATGAGGTGGTCACCCGGCTTTGCCCATTTCTTTTTTTAATAATCCTTTCCCTTTGTCATAAGGTGATTATCTCTTCCCGGTTTTGCAGTGAACTGCCGGTTTTCCTATCACAAATATCTTTTTCTCCCCCAGTCTGCACTTGCTTTAACAATTTGGCTTTTTTTAAAGCCCTGCTGAGGCTAAGTCACACGTGGGCCTCAGTTTCCTCGAGCTCCGGGCACCACCTCCTGGGTTTGCAGTAACACTGGACGAGTCTGAACACAGAAAACAGTGCTTCCATGACCCCAGCCAAGGCTGTGTTCACTTTTTTGGTTGTTTGTTTTCATACCCTCTGCCCCCTTTCTCTGTTTCGTCAGGCAGGTGAGCACAGGCCTGTGCCTGGCCCCAGCGGGCAGTGGGCAGTAGTGGGCCAGGCAGCCCAGATCGGCTGATTAGAAAGCCTCCTCTGACCTAACGTGAATAGAAATACCCTCTTAGCGCTACTGTTTTACAGGCCTGTGTTTGTTTTGCTTTGTTTTGTTTTTGGCCACGCAGCTTGGCTTGCGGGATCTTAGTTCCCAACCAGGGATCGAATCACGCCCCCTGCAGTGGAAGTGCAGCGTCCTAACCACTGGACCACCAGGAAAGTCCCTACAGGCCTGCGTTTTAGATTTGAGTCTGATCCTGGGGGCCCCTCAGACCCAGAGAGGTCCAGAGAGGGGCCCCAGGCAGCCTCACGTGTATGCTCTCTCCACAGCATGACCAACGGCGGCAAGACCACACTGACCAACAGCCTCCTTAAGTCACTGCCCAACTGCTGTGTGATCCACCAGGATGACTTCTTCAAGGTAGCTGCCCTGGCTGGGGACGGGGGGTGGCAGCCCCGAGAAGGAGACTCAGGGGAGCAGACCCCTCCCGGGGCACCCTGGGCTAACCCGAGTCGGGAGATCGAGGGACCGGCGATCTCGGTTACTGAGCACCTACTGTGTGCCTGGCACGTTCTCACGGCACACCCGTTCCCCATGGGACAGATGGGGAAACTGCGGTTCCCAGAGGGTGCGTGCCACCTGGGTGGTACCCTTTATCCTCTGCAACTCCGCTTTCCCATCTGCAAAATGGGCTCTGAGCCCGCCCTTGATGCTTTGTGGAGGGTGAGGGGGTAACTAGATCATAGATGCAAAATCCCCCCGCCCCTGGTCCCAACAGTCACAAGGTTGGGGAGGGGTTCTGAATGCCAGCCTGGAGCCCCCCACCCCCGCCTGGGACCTCGAAGCCTATGACTATCAGCTGCAGGGGGCCGAAGCAGGCAGGGGCACCCAGACCCTCACCGGGGGCTCTCCAGGCGCTGTCACCCCAGGGTGGGGTAAGGTGGGAAGGCGGGCACTGAGCCCGCGGCTTGGGCTCCTCTGTTTCAGCCCCAAGACCAAATAGCAGTTGGGGAGGACGGCTTCAAACAGTGGGACGGTAAGGACGGACGGCAGCCCCGCGCCCCCTGCCCTCACTGCCCCATGGCCCCCACCCTACCAACACTCGCTTTCCCGCCCCCAGTGCTGGAGTCCCTGGACATGGAGGCCATGCTGAGCACCGTGCAGGCCTGGATGATCAGCCCCCGGAAGTTCGCCCGTGCCCACGGGGTCAGTGTCCAGCTGGACGCCTCAGACACCCACATCCTCATCCTGGAAGGCTTCCTTCTCTACAGCTACAAGTGAGCATCTCCAAGTCTGGGCCCTGGACAGTCCGGGCCCTCCCAGGTCACCAAGTCTCTATTTTGACAGACAACCTTGCTGGGTGACCCTGGGCAGGACATCGTACCTCTCTGGGCCCATCCAAATTGGGACAGAGGGAGGATTCCATCCTCAGGGTGAGGGGCTAATGCGGGCATAGTAGGAGGCTGGCCGATGCTGGTCCCCTCACTCATCCCTAACCGAATCAGCCCAGACAAACCGCCCCCCCCACAACCAGTCCTCATCACCCAGGAATGTCCCTGGAGGCCAAGGCCATGGGGGGTTGTGTACTTTGACCCACGGGCGCTGACCGGGTCCCCTACCCCTGCCAGGCCCCTGGTGGACTTGTATAGCCGACGGTACTTCCTGACCGTCCCGTACGAAGAGTGCAAGTGGAGGAGAAGGTGAGCCTGGGGGCCCTGTCTGCATTCCCAGGTGGGACCAGGAAACTGGGTAATGCCTGCTGGACATGGCCACCCTGAAGCTGCAGGCTGACGGGCAGCAGGCACCTGGGTGGTCAGTGCTGGGTTCCAGAGGCCCATAGCCTGCGGCCTGGAGAGCGTGGCCCACCCATGCCCTACCCTGGGCATCTCCCAGGCCCACCGGGGAAAATGCTGGAAGTTGGGGCACCCAGGCCCCAGCACGGGGCCCCTGAATCAGTGGGGTCCCCGTTCTCAGTGGTGCCACCCCGACCTAGTTCCCTCACCCCAGGCTCTGCTTGTGGCACCACCCTTGGGCGACATGGGTGTTGCTCATTCTTGCCCATCTCCCTCCCCAGTACTCGACGCTACATGGTCCCCGACCCCCCCGGCCTCTTCGACGGCCACGTGTGGCCTATGTACCAGAAGTATAAGCGCGAGATGGAGGCCAATGGCGTGGAAGTGGGTAAGTCCCTGAGTAAGATGAGGCCAGCTCCTCCCCACTGGGACCATTTGGGAAACCTGAAAGTCCCTCCTCGAGTCTCACCACCAGTCTCTCTCACTTTGGGCCCCAGAGGCTGGTCTGTTCCCGCAGGCTGACTCTGCAGGCCAGCTTCCTCCTGACCTGCAGTCCTCTAGTCCTCTGTGAGCTGGCCACCCGCCTCCTGGCAGCAGCCCCAGTGACCCGGGCCACGGTTGGGCCCCCAGGGCCCCTGACTGTGGCCTTTCTGATTTCAGTGTACCTGGACGGCATGAAGTCCCGTGAGGAGCTCTTCCACCAAGTCCTGGAAGACATTCAGAACTCGCTTCTGAACCGCTCCTAGGTGTGGCTGGAGAGGAGGGGCCCAGCCCCCAATGCAGGGACCCAGACACAATTCCGGCCACAGTACGGCCAGGCTGGCGGCATCCCAGCCAGACACTGCGTGACCATTTCCCTTTGGGGAAGTCTACATATGAGAGTGGAGGCCCCACTCACAGCCCAGCATCTCAGGGCCCAGGCATTCTGTCCCGAGATGCTTCTGTAACCTCGATGGCGGCTTACGTACTAAACCTGATCCTGTTTTTTAATCGTTGGGGTCCAGCCTGTTGTGTTCGAGGTGCTGAGAGGGACCCTCCTGCCCCATCTCCTTGGTGCATTGGTGGCATCGGGGGGGGGCGACACCGAGGGCTCTGGGCAGTTACAGTCTCCACCTGTTGGATCCATGGCAATGTGACCCTGGGTGGCTGCTTGAGGGTCTTTTGGTCTAGCTTCCTCAAAAGGGAAATTTCCTGCCAGCTTTCAGAAAACAGCGCAGCATGGCCCAGAGCAGGGGCTGGGAGGTCAGCCAAGCCTGAGGGTGCCCCTGACTCTTAGCTGAGCCCCGCTGTCACTGCATCCCGGCGCCTCCTCCGTGACTGGAGCTGACACCTACTTCTCATGACCCAGGATGCTCGTAAGGACACACTCCCTGTCCCAGGAACCACATCTCCCTGAGCCTTCCCTAGAATGTTGGTGAGGCAGTTTATCGTATACACCCATTTCACAGATGGGAAGACTGAGGCTCAGATATGGTCAGTGGCTTGGGAGCTGGTATTTGAACTCAGGTCTCCTCAGACCCTGTTCTTTTTGCCCAAGGGAGGTTGGAAGGCTCCCGTGGAGCCTGAAGACAGGGTGGGGAGGGGGAGGGTGGACGGAGTAGGGGCAGACAGGAGGAGGACAGAGTACCCCTTGACCTGAGGGTGATACCCCAGGGCCAGCCGTGGAACTGTAGCCACCCACCCCACTCAGTCCAGAAGGGCAGGAAAAACCTGAAGTGTAGACAGTTTTGGACAAAGCCATTGAACATTTGGAAATTATGGGGGAAAAAAAAAAAACAATTACCATATGACCTAGCAATTCCACTCCTAGAGAAGATAACCAAAAGGATTGAAAACAGGTGTTCAAACAAAAACTTGTACATGAATGATTCAAAGTAGCACTATTCACAGTAGCCAAAAGGTGAGAGCAACCTAAAAAGTCCATCAAATGATGGATGGATAAACAAAACGTGGTCCATCCACACACGGCCTTAGGAAGAAGGAAAGTCTGATACTCAGTACAACATGGATGAACCTTGAGGACATGATGCTCAGTAAAATAAGCCAGACACAGAAGGACAAATACTGTCTGATTCCACGTATATGAAATGTCCAGAACCGGCAAATCCACAGAGATAGAAAGTAGACTCATGGTTGCCAGGGGCTGGGCTTCGGGGGAAGGGGGGGTGCGGGAGTGACTGATGATAGGGACAAGGTTTCTTTTTGGGGTGATTTTGGGGTGACAACATTGTGAATGCACCAACTGTCACTGAATTGTTCACTTAAAATGATTAATTGTATGTTATGGAAATTTCACTTCAATAAAAAGAAAAGGAAGGGATGCAGGGAGGGAGGATCAGGGCACAGGGGCAGTGGGGGTTCCGTGTGCTTTCACGTTTGTCGGTGGCAAGAAGGCTGTGGGGTGAGGAGTGTGGGTGTCCAGAGCCCTGCCCCTCACTTGCCACACAACACTCCCACTGTCCTCTGAGCTTCCTGCAGTGGCATCCATGGAGTGGGCTCTCTGTGTGCCCCAAGGCTCCCTGCCCTTCACCACAGAACGGGCTGGGCAGCAGGTCGGCGCTACACGTCCTGTCCTGCCCTGGACTCGGGGTCCCAGGCTCCTGGGAAACTGCTCACTTCCTGTGCCCCAGCTGCGGGGAGCCTCCTACTCAGCTGCTGTCCCTTCTAAACACAGCCTTCCTGCCAACAGAAATCACCTAGCGGTGCAATCACCACTGCCCTTTGCCCCTGTGGCCTCACAACCCAGCACAGAGCAAAACACAAAGGAGAGAGTGGTAAGCAGATGGACAGATGGACGGCGGCAGAGCCGGGAGGCCCCGCTGGGCCTGGGGCTCGTCCCTGGCACTAGCTTCAGCTAAGGCCTCATGCAGCCCTTTCCCCACCAACCTGAAGACCCAGTGCAGATCACTAGTAGGGTGACCAACTGTCCCTATTTTCCAAATACTTTCCCTTTACTTTTTTTTTTTTTTTTTTAATACGTTGCGTGCCTTGCGGTATCTTAGCTCCCCGACCAGGAATTTGAACCTGCGCCCTTGGCAGGGAAAGCGCGGAGTCCTAACCACTGGACTGCCAGGGAATTCCCATCCCTTTACTTTAGCATGGAAAGTCCTGCTTCCCCAGAAATCCCTCAGAACCAACCAACCGAGACGGTTGGTCACCGTATCTGCTAGTCTGCTGGGGGCTGCAGAACAGAGGTGAAAGGGCCCACAGGCCGAGAGTCAGGAGGGGCTGGGTTCCCATCCCTCCCAGGCCATTGACAAGCTGTGTACCTTATGGCTCAGAACACCATGTCCTGGTATGTTTGAGCAGGATTTGAATCTGTTAAGACTCTCCTTGCTTCAAACAAACAAAACCAAAAAGCAAACGACACTATTACGGGCTGAATTGTGTACACTTAAATTCGTATGTTGAATCCCCTGACCCTTAGGACCTCAGAGTATGACAGCATTTGGAGGTCACTAAGTTAAAGTGGGGTCGTGAGGATGGGCCTTAATCCAGTATGACTGGTGTCCATATAAGAAGAAGTTGGGACACACCGAGGGAAGACCATGTGAGGACACAGGGAGAAGATGCCCACCTGTAAGCCAGGGGGAAAAGAGGCCTCGGGAGGACCAACCCTGCAAATCCAGAGAGACAGAAAGCAGACTCGTGGTTGCCAGGGGCTGGGGAGGGGTGGGGGGTGGCTCCTAGTGGGGATAAAACATTCTCAAGTTTTTTTTTTCTTTTTTCGGCCATGCCACGCAGCTTGTGGGATCTTAGTTCCCGGACCAGGGGTTGAACCTGCGCCCTCGGCAGTGACACTGCAGAGACCTAACCACTGGACCGCCAGGGAATTCCCAAAATATTCGCAAGCTGATCGTAGTTGATGGTTGTACAACCCTGTGAATACACCCCAAAAACTGAAGTTTACACATTAAATGGATAAATTGAACGGTATGTTAATTCTATGTCAATAAAGCTGTTTTTTTAAAGTCCTCTGGGCCGGGAATTCCCTGGTAGTCCAGAAGGACTCAATGCTTTCTCTGCCGAGGGCCTGGGTTCAATCCCTGGTTGGGGAACTAAGATCCCACAAGCCTCGAAGCCCCCCCCCCCCCCAAAAAAAAATCACCCAATGTGACTTTTATTTTATTCGGTGGCATTTCCAACACTTGTGACTTTAATAAAAAATGTACAAAAATAAATGTACAAATGCCCATATACTCGCTAACAGCACGTAACTGTCACGCTAATAAATTAGTGCCTGCTTTAACGGGGCACTAAACATTATTCACTCAACAAATGTTTATTGGGTGTGTAGTACTTGGGGCAGCAAAGTATGGCCCATGGGCTAAATCCAGCCCACTGCATGTTTTGTTATAGCCCTCGAGCTAAGAATGGCTTCACATTTTTAAATGGTCATGGGAAAAAATAACAAGAAGAATTAAATTTCGTGACAGATGCAAGTTACACGGAATTCAAATTTCAGCATCTATAAATAAAGTTGTCTTGGCTGGCAGCCACGCCTACTTGAGTACGTGTCAGCTGTGGCTGCTTTCAAGCTACGCGGCTGAGCTGGGGGGCTGGGGTGGAGACCCTCATGTCTGCACGGCTGAAATCACTCATTTCCCGCAGCGTCTGCTGATGGCTGCAGTGTATGCAAGGTCTGGGGTGGAGGGTGGCGGGAAGAGCCCACTGTGTCCTGGAGGGCAGGTGGGAGCTGGTGCAGGGCGTGGAGGGAGCCTCGGACAGCCTGCCAAGGCCTGCCCTTTGTCACAGTCACGGAGCACGGTGAGGCTGATCCTCTGGTCACCAGGCCCGAAATAGTCCAGGATGGGATAGGGACACGGGAGAGGTGGCTCCGGGGCAGCCAGAGCCCTGCCTGGCCACCAGACACCTCGGTCACTATAAGAACAGTAGGGGGATGGGGGACCACCTCATCCTGATTGCACAGCACTTTCCCAGTTTCAGCACTGAAAGTTCCCCATCCTGGGAAAGGCCGGGCCCAGGCAAACTGAGCCAGTATGTCACCCTGATCGGGGCCGACCACCTTGAGTGGTCGGATTATTCTATGACCCGCCTCTCTAGGGCTCAGAGAGGAAAGGGACCTGCCCAAGGTCACTCAGCGGAGCTGAGATCTGAACATATCTGTCAAATGCTGACCCAGGACCGTCTCCAGCCAAGGAGGTGTGCCAGGCAGCTCACCCTCGCCCCATCCGCCTTCAGTACCCATATCCCGGGAAGATTCTCTCACTCCTCTCACAGCCACCTGATGGGCCCAGTGAATCCGGCCCCACCTGCCCCTGGCTGGGCAGCTCTGGGCACAGTGTGGACTCCAGCTGGGCTAACCTGTGCGTTTCCTGCAGCCCCTGCCCTCCCCAGACAGAACCCCAAGACTAACCTGATGTGCCCCTGTCACATCCACCAAGCACCCCCTAGGTCAGTGCCTGGCGGTCTTCCCAGGCCCCAGGACGGGACACCCTAAGACCGGGCAGCCTAGAGCGTGAGTGGGTGGCTCCAGAACACGGCCGTCTCAGCCCCTTCCTAGAGAGAGATCCCGGGGCAGGTAACGTGCCACCTGCGCCTCAGCGTCCTCCCCTGGGCTTCGGATGCCCGTTGCTGCTGGGTTTTTGTGGCAGGTGTTGCCACTCACTGGGACAAGGAGCCCAAGGCCCGCCCCCCCGCCCCAGGCCGGCCCCCAACCCCGGGGAGGGCACTCACACCTGCTGGACCCCTGTCCGGTGTTCGGGATGGGGGCTGGGAATTGTCTCCCATGCTCCTGTGACCAGTACAACCTACTCCTTTTCCGCAGATGAGGAAACTGAGGCTGCCGGAGGTGGAGTCCCTTAGCTGCAGGCCACAAAGGAAGGAGACAGGATTCCAGGCCAGGCTGGTGCGCCTGGGACGCAGCTGTGCCCACTGTCCTGCCTGGGCTGGCGGCAGGACCAGTCACCGCCAGGCTCCCCTACGACCCCGGGCCCGGAGGAGGCCCCCCAGCTCCCGATGCCCCCAGCGCCTCCCTCCGAGGTCCCTTCTGAGGCCGTTCGTTCTCCTCCCACCCTTGTGACAGGGCTGGGGCCGCAGACTCCCCCATAATTACTATGGTATTTATTAGTTTTCTTTATGAGTCTCCCTCATTTTATTGATTTTAACTAAATTTGTTGGAAGAGGAAACTTCATGGCCTTGCTGTGGATGGGAAACCTTGAATTTCCTGAAAGCACTTCGCTACAAACACTAAGAATGCCTGCCCCCCATCCCTCCCCTAAAATCATCCCGGGGAGGCCCAGGGATAAGCACTCCACCTTCCCGGAATGCTGAAGGCTAAGAACAACCTCAGGTCAGTGCTTCTCAACTGGGGGCGACTCTGCCCCCCGCCCAGGGGACACTGGGCAACGTCTGGGGACGTCTGTGGTTGTCACACTGGGGGACTCCTGGCATCAAGGGGGTGGGGGCCAGGGATGCTGCTCCACACCCCGCAGCGCCCAGGACAGGCCCACAGCCAAGAACAATCCAGCCCGAATGTCAGCAGTGCCGAGGGGAGACACCCTGGACTAAGGGCAGAGAATTGGCT